TGAGAGGGTCTCATGCCCTACCAGGAACTCCTAGGTCTCCTCCACCCCACTGATGCCCAACCTACCCTGAGATAAAACCAAAGTGGTAAGGGGGGAAACGGGAGTGACTGAAAAGAAGAGGAGCCAGCAGCAGCGGTGGCGGGAAGGACGCTACCGGAGACGGGACGGTTGCACACTTAAATCCCATATGGCGTTTACACACAGTATAGAAACATTTGTGCATATCTTTGCAAGTTTTATGATAAAGTAGTCTTTTGAAATCAGAATGAAAATGAAGAAACAAATAATTAATGCACTCATTTGACATATAAAACAATTCTATTTTCCAAGTGTGATGAGAGAATAGATAATATATGATGCTACCTAATCTTATTAAATGAAGACAGTATTACAAATGTACTCTGAGTAATATTGGTGTATAACTGTCTTTGTGCGGTAACAATGAAAACAGAGGGCTGCACATATCTCAACATTGTACTTCTTAGGGATAAAATATTAAAAAATATTTAAACAATATATATTTCTCTCACAATGCAACACAATAATGCAACAGGATGCTGAAATATTAAAAAATATGTACCTCTTTGAAATGCCAGTAATTCCATCCACTGCCAAATGCTAACGGTAAAATATACCATATGATTCTTTAAGCTTATCAAAGAAATTTTGATTTTCCAGCTTGTCACATTCGTGGTATGTGTGAGGAAATATCACAAGATCACATAAATGTCTATACATTACAAAATTTGCTGCTGTTCGCAGCAGCCAAAATAAAAGCTGTCCTTACCCAAAGAAGAAAGCAAATTTCACTTGTATGGTAGTGACAAAATTGAAGTAAGATCATTTATACTAGCCAAAACCCCTTGGGGATGTCTGTTAACCCTTCAGTGATGGGCTCCATACCTGGCACACCAGTGGCTTCCATCACATGTTGCCACGGTCCGTACCCCGTACGTGTATTGCAGCTCTAAGTTTCAGCTCATATTTTGAAGAGTTGTTTTTCATGTAAAGTAATACTTTTGGTATGAAATTAAAGAGGAAATTTCAGGCTATCATTTTGTATATTCGTTGTCCCACTTTGAACTTCCTGCGGGAGTTGTAACACATTTGAATTCTTTGAAAGAGTTTTTAATTTCAGTACTTGGTGCACTTGTTACCATACCTATCTCTGTTATGGGGAATTCTTACGAACTAAATATGTTAGATCGATACTGTATGCTGTCCTCTATCCTGATCAAAGGAAATGTCGATTCTCTTGAGGCATATTCTGATCAGTGCTGCTTCAACATTAGTATCTGTAACTACGAGAAGACACGTGGAGAATCTATGATTTTGAGACATGATGTTGACTCTAGAAGTGTGTTATGACTGCTACTGTAGCAAATGATAAACAGTTCACTATATGAATGATAACTACTGTAATTCCCCTTTGCTCTATAAATAAGCATCATGCAGTCTGGTTAGCCAAGGCCAGCCGCAAGGAATGAAGTGGCCAGCTGTGTTGTGTCATGACCAGTGGAGAATATATTTACTTCAAACTGAATCAGAAAAAAGTTTTGTCAGATTCGGAATTAGACACTGAAAATGGATGTTTGTGCTTTTCTCAATTCTGTGGTAAATGACAGAATCGAGAACAGCACAAACATCCACTGGGAGAATATGCAAAACTGTAAGGGACAAAAAGAAAATTTCTGAATGTGATGATAATATGCAGGAATAACACAAGGAAAAGAATAGATCAACTGTCAATCAGAATTCAGTTAATTGAGGGACTCTCTGTGAAATATGCTAATGCTGTAGAACACACAGTGCCGGGTCAACATTCGTCCGACAAAAGAGTGCCCCGTCTAAAAAAATTTTATAAGCAAGATTCCACCAACTGCTAAGAAATTAAAACCATAGAAATGGCGTGTTGTGTGTCAAATCTGGGTACTGGTGTGATGCGTGTGACATGGGACCCTGTGTGGAATGTTTTACGACTAACACACCCAGCTGAACTTCTAAGGTAATATAATACTATCATTCATAATTTTTATAGGCTTACTGTGCCAAAAAAGGACAAGAAATACTGGGGATCCTTGACTGGACTCAGGCAAGCAAAGGGACTCATACAAGGACCCTCTGCTAAAAGAGCAAAGGAACTATTGAATCTAAACAGGAACCAGCTATGATGGGTGGTGGGACTACTTACAGGACATCTCTTCAAACTGGGCCTAAGTGCTAGTCCCACTTGTGAGAGGTGCCAAGAAGAAAATGAAATAGCCACATATATCCTGTGTGAATGTGAGGCCTTAGCTTATTTAACCCTTTGACGTGGTCATTTAAATTCCGCGGCCGCGGCTCCTGCGGTAATATATTCAGCCGGCCATTTAAATTTTGCTCGAAAATTATTTATTCATCATTGTTCTTAAATTCTATGAGATAGGAACATGAAACTTTCACTAAAATGATCTTAAATGGTGGTTTTATAACCTTACCTTATAATATGGGCGCCCTGTATCTCGGCCATGGAAGCAGGTTGTTTAGTATTTCAGCAGTGAATGGTACGCCTTGAAGGATGAAACTTTCACTAAAATGATCTTAAATGGTGGTTTTATAACCTTACCTTATAATATG